ACCCACAGCACACTCAGGGTTGTTTTACACACCCACAGCACACTCAGGGTTGTTTTACACACCCACAGCACACTCAGGGTTGTTTTACACACCCACAGCACACTCAGGGTTGTTTTACACACCCATGGCTTTTGTCTCCTCTCCTTTGGCGTTGAGGATGGAGAACTTGAACTTGGCTCGGACCTCGCTCTTGGGGCAGCTCACCAGCAGCAGGTACAGGGACAGGTAATCCTTGCTCTCCTCATCCAGGCCCTTGGGGTTCACACGCAAACACCTGCAGTGACAGGGCAGCAGCGTTGGCAGCTCCTCTGGAGCTCCAAAGAAAGGGCAGGGCAGAACTGTCCCTGCAAACTGGGCAGTGCAGAACTGTCCCTGCAAACTGGGCAGTGCAGAACTGTCCCTGCAAACTGGGCAGGGCAGAACTGTCCCTGCAAACTGGGCAGGGCAGAACTGTCCCTGCAAACTGGGCAGGGCAGAACTGTCCCTGCAAACTGGGCAGCAAACACGTTGTGTTTGACACCAACAGCAGGAAATGATGGATGGGGAAATAAACTGGAGCTGTGTTAAATCTGTATGTCCACATGGATAAAAATATACAGGCAGGAATGTGGGCAACCCAAAAAGACACACGGAAAAGAGCGGGGAGAATGGTTGGAAAAGCACTCGGGATGGCAACTTTCACAAAAGGGCAACCCAAAAAAAACCCACGGGGAAAAGAGGAAGGAGAATGGTTGGAATTACTGGAAAGCAACCCCCCCAAAAAAAACCCACAGGGAATAGAGCAGGGAGAATGGTTGGATTTACTGAAAAGCAACCCCAAAAAAAACCCCCCAAGGAACAGAGGGAGTCTGGTTGGAATTACTGAAAAGCACCCTGGATGTCAACTTTCCTAAAAGGAGAGTGAAAGAAATATTAGACTGGAGGTCACGGATTCGAGGAAGTGCAACAAATGCGGAGAAGTGGCAGAGAAAATCCCACAGGAAGCAACTGAAAGGGAAAGGGGGTTTCTGGAAGGCTGGTTTTTACAAAAAACACGACCCCAGGGTAAAAGGGAAACTACTCCTGTGTGAAGAAAAGTGGTAAGTGCAGGAAGAGGCCGCTCCTGAGCACTTCCATGACCTGGAACTTGGCAGAGGATCCACCAAAGCACAAACTAGGCCAGCTGATGGAACAGCTCCCACACACAGGCACCGAGAGCCGGCACATCCAGATGTTCCAGGAGAGCTGAGCAGCAAAGGTTACAAAGGTAATGATTTAACAAGGAGCAGGCCAAGGAAAGCACAGCTCTGCCACCCAAAGGCAGGAACACACACTGTGCCACAGACACACTGTACACAGACACACAGCAAAGTCTTCGGGGGCTCCTTGGCCCCAATCTGCACTCAGGAGGGTTAAAGAAAAAATGTAAGACACTTCCTAACAGCCACAAGGGATAAACTCAGGAACTGGGTGTCCATGGATGTGCTGGGGCCAACAGACACAGCACACACACCTTCTGAGCAAAGCCCACCCCGAGTTACTGCAAACGACTCGAGAGCTCAGGGAAAAAAAGAAAGGTTTTAAAGGAAAGGAGAAGGCCCAAAATCATGTCATCTTGAAGAAGAGGCAATTCCTGGGCAGGAGGAGTTACAGAACATTGGTACTTCTCTTATCTCCACCTTCTCCCCACATTCACA